CTTTCTCATACTGAGCATGATGTTCACCATCGACATGACAAGACTCAAAAATCTGTTGGCATGTTTTAGTGGCTTTTTATAACAATAAGCATTGGTACAACTGCAATTTGCTCTCTCAATAATTCCCTCCATGGTATTACAGGAAATTAGGGGTCTTAAGTCTGTTTCATAGAACTTAGGGGCAGGTTAAGGGCTTGTTAGAGAGAACATTTTAAAAGTTGAACTTTAGGGGGCTGGATTTTTGGGGAAGGGTCATGTTGTTCTAACACTTCTGTTTGTGAAGCGTGAGGGGGTTATTTATCTGCATGTTAAATTGATGATCTGTTTACTGCTAAGCGTTTCTAACTGAGCATGTGTCATCTGTATGGACAAATTATAGAAGTGTTGATGCAATTCAGTTAAGTCTTTTTCTGTTTTAATGAGTGCAGTGTAAAAATCTTATTAAAATTTCACAGGCATCAAATTATAACAGTAGTACAGTTGGCTATAGTTGTCTTTGATAAATGCAATTTTACTCAGTTTTCTTCCATAAATGAATTGAATTCATACAGTTAAAGTTGTCTTTGGTAATTAGATTGTGAATAATGTCATTATATCCTTGTACATGTAGAATACTGCTGGCCTAGATGATTTTGAGAGGCAAAAAACCCTTGGAACAGGATCGTTCGGGAGAGTTATGATGGTGAAACATAAATCCACAGAACAGTATTATGCTATGAAGATACTGGACAAACAGAAGGTTGGTATAACTTATAATGGGGTTGTTTTGGTACAAAGATCTGAAAACTGTCCTAAAGTGTGTTGCACTTACTGTGCTCCTTTAAATCACACTTGGATATACTGGTGGTAGTTTAAATGCCTGACTTCCTTTTTTAGCCAACTGATTCAGTTGTTGGGATTGCATAGAATTCTTATTATGACCAGTAATAAATTTATGAGAGGCTAAAGAGGCTCTAGGTACTGTTAAAGGCATATATAAAATGTTATCGGTTGAATTCTTTGAATACTTTTGTATGTTGGCCTATGTATCCTTTGCAAAAGCATAATGTACCGCTGCCGTTTATTTAAATAAATAAATATGCTTTTGCAGGGTAGCTCAAAATTCTGGAAGACGCTTTGGATCAGAAATTCTCAAAATTTTTATTTATGAACCATAATTTAACATATAGTTTGCGTGGATAATTTCTTTTCCATTTTTGATCCCATGAGGCATTACTTCTAGTGTGCATAATTATGTCAGAATCCTGTTGCCTCTCTAGTAACTGCAGCGATAGAAGGGCTGTCTGTCTCTCAGAACAGCTGTCACACAACAGACATTTTCTGTGTTGAAAACTGAAGCGCTGTAGTCTGGTTCTGTACTGTTACTCCAGCCTGGTTTGTTTTTTTTAACATCTTAGGATTCTTAGATTAAGTAAGTTTTGACATTTGGTAAAGTTTAAATTTTAAATGAAATAAAATTCCAGAATACCAAGAAATATTTTAAAGGAATTTATCGTTACAGTTAGTTTTTAATAATTTTGACGGGATTTTTCACAAGTACATTATTTAGTTTAGTAGATTCTGAAGTCTGCAGTATAAGTGCTCTTATTACTTTATAAGGCACTAGGCATAACTCTTACTGCTGTTTGACAAAAATAACGTTAAGAAAATATTAACCTGGCAAAGAGAACTTTAATCAGCAGCCGACAGAATGGAAGTCGGCATTGCCTCAATGTGGGCTCTTGCACTTAAGCAATTACATTCCTTAGTAATTTTATATAATGGAACTATGGCAGTGACATAATCAAACTTTTCCCAGAGTTGCAGTTCCAGTATTCTTTATGTGTGATTTGGGGTCCTGGACCTTGAATAAAGCGTCATTTCATCAAAGACTGCTTTATACTGGTCAGACAAGAAGAAACTAAAGTAAACTTGGCTTTTAGTGTCAATTCTAGCTTATTATTTTACTTGGAAAAGCCCATTTTTTGCAACTTAAGCCTTCTCCTATAACAATAGTTTCTAACTTTTATTTTAAAAAAATTCAAATTCAATAAAAAAGACATTTCAGCATAGTACAACTGAAAGACAGCCCAGACCATTTTCACCCATGTGGAAATTTAGCCCGTTGTTACCTGAGCATGGCTGGTGCCATCCTGTGGGAAGCGTGTGATGAGCATCCCACTGTTGCACAGAGAGCCCATCGTCAAAGTTCAGATTTTTAACTTTTTTTTTCCTCAAACCCATTTTCATTAATGTCTTGAGTCCTTGACATTGGAGCAATTTAGGAAATTACCTCTTACTTCAAAAAGCTGCCACAAAGATAGTCCGAGGGCTTACAGCAAAAGAAAAAAAAAAAAAGTTAAACTCGTTGCTACCTCTTAGTCTAAATTAAACTTGAAAGCTATAACTATAAAATTATCTCGTAGAAGCAAAGTTCACGTTTTTCACGATTGCAGTGCACTTGCAGTAAGAGATTCACAGGATTAAAGGTGTTTGCAGCCAGGCGTCAGTCTTCTACTAGTAAATTAGATGGTTTTGTCTATAATCAGACAAATGAAATGTTCCTTTTTAAAATTCATGGGGTTTTTTAACTCGACAGTATATATAATTATAAATCTCTGTATTCTCTGAGAAATATATTAGCATCGTATCAGTAACTCGTATTAATTGATCAAAAAATAGGAGATATCTTAGGGAGAATGCTTTTCTGTCAGTTTGTGTGTTACAGAAAACATACAGATGTCTGCAGTTAGACACTGTGCAGGTTGCCTCTAATTTTTCATTTACATTTTACTTGGAACAAGAGAAAGCATATTGTGTGTCCCTTGGTTAGCCACTTCTGTGCTTGGTTCGTCAGGATATGAAAAAAAAAATGTAATAGGAGTTGATGTAGCCAGTAGTCTTGTGTGTAGGGTTATTATTCCTTTGTTTGTCTGCCTTGACTGAGAAAGGCTGTGACATGCCATTGCTGGGCTGGTTTCATTATGTAATTGCTTTTGGAAGGAAAACGCTGCTCACAAAAGTTCAGACTCAAACAAGCTGTTGGAGAATGTGCCACTGCCAGGTGTCACTTGATCTGTGAGGAGAGGTCACAGGACATGCCCTGAGCCCGAGCTTAAACTTGAGCAAAGCTGTGCCAATCCGAGGCTTCAGTCTGATATTACCAAGTGTACAAAGCAACTTCAGCCTGTGGTGCTGCTGCCAGCACCTGCCAGCATCTCGCAGCCTGAGATGCAGGACTGGTGGTAAAGTCGTGTCTGGCGTTGCAGCTGAACGCTTCACCCATCAAACCAAATCCTCAGCTCGCTGGCTTCGGTGGCCAAGGCAATTCCTGTACCTTGGCTTGTTAGGGGTGATGGGGACCCTTCCCACAAGTGAGCTGATTTCAGCAAAATTTTTATTTGATCCCTAAAGATCTGTGATTCAAAAGAGATTTAATATTTTTAACTCGCTATTTCATTTGTGTGACATTTATTTCAAAACTAGTGGGTTTCTATAGGTACTACCTTTTGCATCTGGAAGTTAAATTTAAACACAGTTTCAGTCAGAGTTGGAATGTTGTGCTTACCTGTTACTTACAGCAGTTAGATTTGATTTCTGAACATGTAAAAACAGAGTTGTTTTTATTGCTCTTGTACATTTTCTCCTTGTTTTCTATGGGGAAAAACCAGTAATTTTACTTCGAACGTGTAAAAGCAGACTTGCTTTTATCGCTCTTGTACATTTTCTCCTTATTTTCTATGGGGAAAAACCAGTAATTTTACTTGGAAATCGTGCCATTCTCAAAACGAGATAGAGACGAATGGTAGAGTGGGGATTAAGGAAAATGGAAATAGTCCATTATGCAGTGTTGGGGTTTAGCACAAGCAAACCAATTGTTAATTACTGAGAGAAAGAGTAATGATCAGAAATCTGCCACTTGCTGCCTTGTTGGGAGCTTAATGTTATAATGAATGCCAAGGAGGTAGCTTTGATTTATTTATTTTTTAATACTTTTGCCAAGCAGAAGAGCAAAAGTCATTGAAAGGCCTGGCAGAACTAACTGTTGCTTATAAGAATGGAAATTTTGAATTTATATTCTCCTCTGTCTCCTCAGTAGTGTGTGAGCTATCTAAAATAAGTCAGTTTACTCTTGCTTACACATAACAAAATTCATAATTAAATGCGTCTGACACAATTTCTTGCCATTCTGAGCGAAGGGCCCAAAGATCAAGTGGTTTTTGTAGAACTATCATCTTGCTGCAGAACTATCTGCATTACATACTCAAGCAATTCTTAAGAAAATGTAGAGAGGTTTTCCTTGCTGATTCTATACTCAGCACGTAGCAAGAAACACTGTTTCTGGAGTTATCTGCAAACTGTATTGCATGAGTGGTATTCTTTAAAATATTGTTAGACTTTTTAATCCTTTCTCAGCACTGTTATTGTACTAGTAATGCATAAAGTTTTTCGTTACCTGCCAAGTAGTAAGTTTGCTTTGAACTTAGCGGCAACTATAAAATGTCCTACTTGAACTAGAGATGGTGTTTCCTCTCCCAGGTCGTCAAACTGAAGCAAATAGAACACACACTGAACGAGAAGAGAATATTGCAAGCGGTGAACTTTCCTTTCCTTGTAAAACTGGAGTATTCTTTTAAGGTAATCATTATTTTGCAAGGAGTTGCTTGGGTTTCAGGGAAGTGTATGCTCCAACTTCAGATGTTAAAGTATTTTACTTTAACAGTGTAGTTGTTTCAGTATTTTTGTTTTCAAAGATGCTTCACTCAGCACTGTTGCCAGGTCTTGAGCAGGAGTTCTGCACTTGTGTGACCTTCAGGTCACTTGAACTCGTTGGTTACCTTTAGTCAAATTTACTTCAAAATAGAGTTCTTGCGATACAGGACGCTCCTTTTGTCACGAGTGTCTGCACTTCTGAGAATTTCTCTGTGTGTTGCTTTGTATTTGTCACTGGATTGCTACAATTTTTTGTTTTCGTTCTCTAGTGAAATATACTGTGTGTAGGAATTACAGAGACCACAGCATGCCTCATGTGTAGTCATGTGTGTTTATTTGCTTTCTTAGGACAATTCTAATTTATACATGGTAATGGAGTATGTTCCTGGTGGTGAAATGTTTTCACATCTAAGAAGAATCGGAAGGTTCAGGTAAGAGTATTAATGATATTCGTTTTAAAAGGCTTATGTTGCTAATATAGGAAGAGGGTTTTGTAGAATTTGTTAGTATTGAAGAAAAACATTTCAGAAGGGGTAAGTGCATTTAATGTACCACTCTTTCTAGACAGGCAATGAAAAGCTTGTAATTATTTTTTTATTTTTCAGACAGTTAATGCAGGTATTCATGATCTGTGCATAACAGAATTTTAGAATTCCTATGCATATTGTCACTGAAATTTAAGAAGGCTTCTAAAAGTAAAATTTGAAGTCTAAGCACTGTATTTCAGGATATGTTCACCTTGATTTGCCATGTGTATTTCATCTGCAAGACTTTAATTTAGGGAATGAATATATCAATTCTAAAGTTTGTGTAGTTTGCTTTTGTTTTTCTTGTTACGCAGTTAAAGAACCAGTTTAAAGATACTTAATTTGTCTGTCCCTGGCAGTTACATGCGTGTTTCAGTTTCTCGGCACAGCATTGGGGTACTTAATATTCTTTTAATTCTTCACAGTGAACCACATGCACGGTTTTATGCAGCTCAGATAGTGCTAACATTTGAGTACCTCCATTCATTAGACCTCATCTACAGAGATCTAAAGCCTGAAAATCTTTTAATTGATCAGCAAGGATACATCCAGGTATGATATTCTTCATATATTGAGGGAGTAGAGTCTTGTCTTACAGGGTAGGGTCAGGTAATTCTGGCAAATGGGGTTGCAATGAATGGTCTAAAGCTGGTTGGCATGTGAGCATGTATTCAGGGAGCAGTAAGGTGCCCTGCTGCTTAGTAATGGTTAAAAGCGTGACATTGTACTTCTCTGACTAAAATTAAGTGTGCGCAGTGGAGCTGTCTGCAGTTGAGCATGTTGTCATGGGTTCCCTTGGGGTCTGTGGTGAGAAGTAGGTGATGATGTGGCTCTGTTCATCTGACCTATTTTACACAGCTACCCTAGAACAAGACAAAAAGTGCCCAAAAATGTCTGTTTCTCTGCATTCTCTGTATAAGTACTTTATCATACCCAGCTTAGATGTCCATATTGACCCTGTAGTCCTTAATTTCAGTCAGATGAATCCCACCTTCAGAGCGTCCTGACCTTCTCAGTGCGCCTGGAGTAAGAGCTGAGTTGAGATCAGATCAGAATTGCAGTGCTGCAAAGGACGACTTTGGTTTTATAGCAGCCTCTCATGGCACCTCCTCATCTTCCTTTTAGCTCTTAACGTTTGTCATCTAAATGGCAAACGGGCAGGTGGTGTGCAGCAACAAGCACTCTGCGATGTTTGCAGTCCTTAAACTATAGAAGCTTTTCTTTCCTCGTGGTGTCACCCTTTGCCATAGTAGAATCCAGCAGGAAAATACATTATAAAAATGTGTGAGAGAAGTGGAAAGGATTTATCTGTTGTTTATAACTGTAAAGTAATTTTGCATCAAGAGTAAAATGACATGTAGGGAGAAGAGAAATCCAAGTTCTATTAATGTGGTTGGGGAACAGCATTAACGTAAAGCCGTGAACGGCTCACTCCGGAATTGGCGACTCTCTGTAGGCAACAGTAGGTTTTTCTGATGGCGGGCTGAGCCCAGCAGTCACTTTTCCCAGGTGTGCTTGGTTCACTTCTGCTTCTGAACAGAGGGGGGAAGGTTTATGTTCATATGTTGATCCTGCAGCTCCAACTAAATTTGGATTTTTGACTCTTAAAGCCATTGCTCTTTGACCCTTGTGTGCAGTGTATTCCTCTTACACAGACTGCATGTTCACAAACACACAAATGATTCTTTGCGGACTGAAGCAGGTCTATCTAGTCAGCACGTTACCCTCTCTGTTCAGTTCCAGCTGTGATTGCTGCTGTTTCTACCAAAAATGAAGCAGAGGCTCCACTGATAGTTTGGAGTTTGCCTTGTTTGATTGTGACACTAGTGTGTCAGAAACAGCAGCATGGGTTATGGTATAATCATCATTGTGGTATGGTGTGTTTTCTCAGGGAATAGGTTGAAAATGATACCGAGGAGAAAAACAGATTCCCAAACTAGGATAGACTTGAAAACTTGAAACGAATCCCAGAATTTCGCATGTAACTCCCTGGCTTTCCTATGTGTTCCACAATACGGTCCAGAAAAAAATCAGAGAGAAAGAAAATCGCTCTGCATACAGAGTTCTCAAAACTTGCTGCAGAAGCACGACAAGTGGAATGAAGAACTTAAAATGGCCAGGAACTTCCCATTTGTGAATATAGTTTCTGCTGCATTCCCCCCAGTCTTCAAATAAACGAGCTTGACTCTGGTGATGTTTTCGAAGACACTCAGAATCAGAAGTTACTGGAAGATCTCTTTTATGCTGTCTTATTCCCACACTAATTTTACATATAACCTTTATACACTTAGGCAATAAAATTCTAAATTTACAAGACTGGTGAATATCTTGACCCTTTTTGTGATTCATTTATTCATTAACTAAAGGAAAAGATAAATATCTTGTTCATATCCACGTTCTTTAAACTTTCAGCGGTATAAACAGTCTGATGTGAAAAGTATAAGAAACATTATTAGTGTAATTGCAGCACATGTGGAAGTTCAGTGAGCTGTAGTTCCCACTGGTTTTTTTTTAATAGAAGCTTGTGTTGGGGAAAATATGTGTTTTGTGTTATTTATTAGTGTTGTCACGAAAAAAACCTATCTGGCTGAATTAGAACCTTCAGAAGAACTGACTGCCAAAGGTACATCTGACTATATGATACTACATGATTTGAGAAACAATTTTTTCTTACAGATACAGCTTTCAAAAATATTTCAGAATTACTTAATTTTAACTTTGACTGTAAGTGCACTTCTACAAATAATTTATTTCTTTTGGTGACAGGTCACGGACTTCGGCTTTGCAAAAAGAGTAAAAGGAAGAACTTGGACGTTATGTGGCACTCCAGAATACCTGGCACCTGAAATAATTCTCAGCAAGGTACTTTGTCTTGGTTTTCAGCCATGTTAAAGCCATGTTATCAACTCTGAGGGATAAACAATTGTAGAGTACTTTCAAAAATCAAATCTTGACTGGTCAGCTCTTTAAGAAATACACAAAATGCAGTTGTTGCATTGTAAATATTTTTTTAATATATTAAAACTTTCTTCAGAGCAGGGATTTTCACAGAACTGTACAGAACTTTGAGCATATACTTGCCATGTGACTTGTGAGGGGAAAAGGATTTTAAAACATCTAGGTTTTGGTTATTTAATTAGCATCCTTACTGGAACAGCAGATCTGAATGATTAAATTTGGAAGTGTTAACGGACAAGAACAGGCACTCCAAAGGTAACGAGAACTGGGTGCTGGATGATTCAGTAGTCATTGAATAACTAGTTACAGAGTGTTTCGGGATTAAGGCACTTTACATTAAATCAGACATGACAAACCACTGGGTTTAGACATAAAATACATGCAGGCTAAGCTTGCCATGGACCAGTTTGTGTCTAGTACTTGCAGTAAGTGTTTGAACATAAAAGAAATATTATTTACAATAGCGCTGTTCAACTGTAGCCTTCATATTCTGCAAAGGAAAAATGCCCTCATAGTTTATGGAACTGCTCATGATATAAACAATCATAATGCAGAATGTTAAATTATGCACTTAATGTCTGGTTTGATTAAATATCCTTTGCGGGTCTTTAAAAGTAAACCAAAAATTTGGGAAGGAAGTGTTTGTTATTTGCAGCTTTTTTTTACCCCTGTGCAGCTAAAGTAGATGCTCATGTGCAGTAGATTTTTCGGGAAAGACTCTGAGTCTTAGCCCTGAGCTTTGTAAAAGATCACAGAGGACATGTACAAAATTGATGGGATCGGTGGGGTTTCTTTTTAAATATTAAATAGGACTTACCGATGATCTTATGTTCAGGCTTTACAGATCAGATCATGAATGGCTCTATAACAGCTAATTAACAAAACTTTTAAGCTCTTGTAACTAGTTCACTAAGTATGAAAACAAATACTCTGAAATGCGGATAATCAAGCAAAAAGACAATCTAGGAAGCATTGTTACATTTAACCCAATTTCCCAAAGTTTGAAAGAAGTTTCATTCCTTCTGTAACAAGATTACTTTTCCTTTAAATAAATAAATTGTGCCCATGTCTGACACTTAGGGAGTGTAAAGTCATCCCTGAAACTGAGCACGGAAATGTGTGCGGGAGCTTTCACTTCCATCCCCATCTCACTGTCCTCCCTGCATTAGGCTTTAAGCGTGTTGCTGTTGGAATCTGTGCGCTCCACTTCGGTTGGAACTAGGTTGTAAGTTCCGGATTAAACAAGCAACAATGCATTTGCTTTCTTTGTATTCCGTAGATATATACTGAAAACCTTAAACTGTTTCTAGAACTGGTGCTAATGGTGGTATTTCTCCTGTTATCCAGGGTTACAACAAGGCCGTGGACTGGTGGGCGTTAGGAGTGTTAATCTATGAAATGGCAGCTGGATATCCCCCATTCTTTGCAGATCAGCCCATTCAGATTTATGAGAAGATTGTGTCTGGCAAGGTGAGGGAAGAGCTCTTGTATTTTCACAAACGCGGTTGTTTCTTCGCAAAATTTGTTTTTCATGTGGAGTAGATAGGGAATTTACTGGCTGTGAGACAGTGATTTGGAAAGAATGTGGGAAAAGTTAGTAACATACACTTCTTAAGTACAAAAAATTTGTTCCATGACTTCAAATTTAAAATGCAAGTTACTAAATTTACAGAGATTGTGGTATTATATGCTTCTAGGCTTGGATAAAAATGATCCAGTCACCATGAACAACTATTTATACTTAATTGGCCTAGCTATTTTCTTTCCTAGGAATATTTCTGCGGCTTTTGAGAAGCTCTAAAGAGCTTCCGGAATTCAGAGTCGCTTTCTTCACTTCTGCAGTCTTGTAGTTCAAGGCATGTCTAATGTTCTGGTTGACTTTTGTTGCTATATAAAATTTTTAAAAAGCATTCCCAACTTTTTTCTTTTATTTTTAATTAGTATCTCGTAGTGTGCCAGAGAGCACAAAAATGTGATCATTCTGTTATTTCTCCTGCCAGCCAGCGTTGTCTCTTCATGTTTCCTTGTGCTCCCTTGGTTTGTAGAGTTCTTCTCTTCCATGTCCCTGTATAAAGATATGCTGTGCTGCATCTTACGTATTTCCAAAATTAAGTGCCTCCCTAGGCCCTGTGGTACACTGCAGTGACATTGATTCCTGTCTAGGACCTTCCTTAAATAAAAAAGTTGGTTGCTCTTTAAAAGGTTCTAGTACTGTAACCCCTCACTTATCTCAACAAATATATGTGAATTCATTTATGAAGATATCTTTTTTAGAAAAGTTTCATTTCTAAACTAAAAAAACTTGGGTGTTATTTTCAGTTTTATCTAATTTGCTCTATGTTTATACTGTTGATCATCTACTGTTTTTTGACTGAGTCCAGGGATGGATGGTTACAGGAACAGCACTGGACTTGAACTCTGGAAAATGTAGCATCCAGTTCTCAGCTAGCGGTGTGTTTCCTTTAAAACCTTGGGTTTTTCCTTTAATCTACCTCATGCATCTAGTTCTCTGCTTTGTAGCTGCCTAAGTATTATATTCATTAAAACTTACAGATTTCTCATGTACGACAATATATCTGTACTGACGTGTAAACTGAAGCACTTGTCGATTATCGGACCTCTTGATTTTGTAATGTTTGTTTTCGTGTGAAATAATTCCATGCTCTGCGTTTGCGTCATAACTGATCAACTGAATTCAGGATGTATCAAGTGCTGATAGTGCGGGCATGACAAATACAAACTTCTGCCTGTCCTTTTTCCCTTTTTTCTCTCTGCCATCTCCAGTGGTATCAGAAGATCTTTTGCTAGTTCAACACTATATAATTACGGCCCGTGAATCATCTTCGTGTATTTCTTAGCCAGGTTTGAGTGAATTGTAGTGGCAAGTCACTTGTGTGCTATCTTCAAATAGTGCTGGATTACTCATGTAAGACTTTTAGATGTTGGTCTATTTAGTTATCAGAAACAGATTACAATACAGCATGAAACTCCAGGTTGAATTTTCATATATGATTGCTGAATGTTCAGTTATTTAGAGCTTATCTTTATACTTATATGCTGCATATATGCTATACTGTACTGTATCTCCTGTGTGTCTGTGTATTAATATAGTGCATATATTGCATATATTGCATATATATTGCATATAGTGCATATAGTTGAGAATGCCTTGAGGTGATGTTGTGTTGGTGAAACACCAAGTTAAATTTATTACATTAAATTAATATTTTTTCCCCAACTCAGTCAGATCTAGAAACTTTCAGTTCAAAAAATAGTAGATGGTCATGGTAGTGCTATCGATGAAGTATATGTGAGGCAGAAATATCTGTGCAAAAATAATCATTTCTCTTTTTGTGCATTCCTACTTGATTTGGTTTTAGAGGAAGAGTAGAAAATGGCCCCAGTGTTTCCTTTTGTGTGAACGTTGTTTTACTTCATGAAGGAAGAATCAAATTTGTCAACTGGTTTTTAATGTTGTGGATCTATAATTTTAGGTAAGGTTCCCATCACACTTCAGTTCAGACCTAAAGGATCTTCTAAGAAATTTACTCCAGGTAGATTTGACCAAACGATATGGAAATCTCAAGAATGGTGTAAATGACATAAAGAATCACAAGTGGTTTGCCACTACAGATTGGATTGCCATTTATCAGAGGAAGGTAAGTCAAATTTCCAATTATTTTGTGTATTTTTTTGCTTTCCTAAATCTATCACTTTCAATGAAAACTGAGAAAAGGTGAAAGTAGTTTAATCTTTAACACTATGAAGCATATATATTGATGGAATGATGTTTGTTTCTTGTTCGTATTTCATCCTGGATCACTGCATACATTCATGTTCTCTTAATGTGTGTTGTGCCTTAGTCTGTTTCTGGAATATCTCAGGATGAGCAATCTCCTGCCTCTCCCACTTTTTATTTAACTCCTGCTATAGTGGCATCTCTGAGTACTCCTCCACAGCAGAGAGGAATCTGTTTTCCTTTCCAGCTAGTTCTTAGCAGTCAGACTGTGCTTCAGTGTGAAGTCAGTAAATAAATAGGTAATTAAATAAATGTGGATAAATCTTTTTTTTCTGTTGAACTGTGCTGCCTCCTTCCTGCTCCTGCTTCATCTGTGATTAGGGGAGGATCAGCTGTAGGGTCTGCTCAGTCTTCAGTCTTCTGAGCAGTTCTTGTTTTCTGACACAGTGCTTAAGCTGGCTGCAGTTCCCTGAGCTGCAGCAGTGGAACAGCCTGCTGAATATGTTTTTCCGGCATTTTTAGAATGGTTTTCTAGACCTGCCTGACCAACATGACTTGTAACGTGATTTTTTTAGAAAGTCCATCCCCACCCTGCACTCTGAACTTCAGACCTGTGTAAGAGGAAAGCAGCCGAGACAAGTGGGAGCAGTTGGTTAGAGGGGAGCGGTGGTGGCTGCCCGGAGGAACGAGGCAGAGCAGGGGGAGGACGCTGCCGAGGGGGGCTGAGGGTGGAGATGCTTCAATCTAGGTCTGTCTTCGCTAGCTCCAAAGCTCCCTCTCCCCTTGACGGTAGAGGCAAAGTTAAATATCTGTGGCTTAGCGAATTACTAGATTCCTAATAAATTATTTGTTTTGTTAAATGCAACCTCTGAATTCTTAGTTTTTTAATAGACAACGGTAAAAGACAAAATTAATGTTGTTGGTGGTGTCCCAAAAGACTCAAGTGGAGAAGTGTATAAAGGTTAGGGTTAAGTAATAATACCTGAAGGAGTTGATTTACATTGTTGAAATGGTAACAGTCTTGACTATAGAGACATGGGCTCCTGGCTGTAACAACAGGATTTTAAAGACTGAACCTAAATACTAACAATAGTTTATAAAAAGAAACTAGTTGTTTGACTGCACAAACTGACAGTACAGTTGTTGTAGTATTCACTAATGTATTAATTGCTTGAAGACAGGGTGTAATTAACATATCCACTGGTTTTTTTGTATTAAATATAGATGTTTTTAAGAAAAGACTCCCCGTTACAGAATTGCAATTATCTGTTATTTGCTTTCTTAATGCCTGTTTACAAGGCAAATTTATTTGCACTGAGTTTCATGCACTGCTGTGCTGTTTGGGGACACCCGGGCCCCATAATATTACATCAAATGTTTTAATATTGTGCTAAATATTCTTAGCAATACTAGTGTACTGCTGTAGAGAACTGCTTTCACAGAAACAATAAGTGTTCTACATTGTGAACTAGTGGTACAATCAGAATTGCTATTACTAGTTTTCAAGGCTTGTGAAAAGTGATGCTGAAAAAGTGTGAAGCTTTTAATTATAGGGAATAAATACTGTAATATTAAAAGTCTGAAACAACAGCCTAGATTGTAATATAATTGAAGCAGACGTGGAAATACAGCAAGAAACGTTGGGTTTATACCAGCTTTTCACAGCAGCTGTTACCACAGCATTTATTTTCCTGGATAAACACGGTGTTCCTTGGCAGCTACTATAATGTGAATATAATGTTATGCTACAGTCATAAGTGAACCAGTCAATTACTTAATATTTCGGATAAGATCAAGTCTTGTTTTCTTTGTGTGCTTGCCTAGTTGTTTTATTAAAATATTACCTGATAATATGGTTGGACTTAGGGCCAAACAGGTATTTCTACTACAAACCAGTTATGTCCTGCAATCTCTTCTTAGTGACTTCCTCAGTGAGGGTAATAGGAAGAAATCTGAGGAGTCTAATTTGAATGTGTTCTTAAATTCCAGCAGTAAATGAGATATTTCTTGTGCTCTGAGCTTTATTGTAGGAGAGTAATTGAAAATCGGTTTGAGAAGACACAGGCAGAATTCAGATACTGGTGAACGTGTGGCTTTGTAGGCTGAGCGTGTGTGCGGGCTGTATGTTCTGTCAGGATAAACCACCTGAACACACGTATGGCTTTAGGAACAAAAAGAGACACACATGGGAATTGCAGTCCAGTCTGTAAATGAAGAAAGCTAGTGATATTTCCTGAGGGTGTATAGTGTTATTGCTAAAGTCAGCCGAGTTTAATTTGTATTAGTCTGTGCTGTACTTCTTTAATTCCCTGATTTACACACACCCACCCCTGCCACCACCAGCGATCTCCCCCGGGCGCTGAGCACGTCGGGGTTGCAGGCAGAGCACCTTGGCACAGGCAGAGAGATACTTGTCTGATTACTCTGCTATAATTTTGCCTGTCATAAAGGTGGAAAACCTGGGTAACTGTCAAATGAGAGAGGAACACAGCACTGATAATGGTGCCTCGCGCTGCAGTTTGTCCTAGACCTGTTGCCTTTCCTGGCTCTTCCTTGCTCACTCCCTCACCATAATTGCCTCCGATCAGCCCCAGACCCCGCCTGTTCCCTCTTCAAGCATGCAGCTGATTCTAAAATTTCAGTTATTCTACAAAGTAATTATGCTTAATTTTGGCCTTGGAGATGTATTTTGTTTGCAGCCACGCCACAGAGCTGGGGAGCTGAACAGAGTAGGGTCTCTCCTGTGAGAACTTTGTTTTGAAGTGGAAGTCTCTTTTTATTGATGTTTGTCAGTGAGATAGGAGTCTTTTTTAACTTACATTCATACATCTAGGCCTGCACCTTCTTAGACTGATTTTTTTTTTTTATGTGCTACAACTTTAAGCTGTAATATGTGGTTTCTTGGCAGGATTTGAGAAGTAATGGGAATGCTGTGCTCATTATCAGGATGTTAAATGTAAGGATATTGTATTAATAACGTTCGATGTGCTTTCTTCTTGTGTTTTTTTTTCCCCAAATACAGGTAGAAGCTCCGTTCATACCAAAGTGCAGGGGCCCTGGAGATACCAGCAACTTTGATGACTATGAAGAAGAAGATATTCGTGCGTCTCTAACAGAAAAATGTGCAAAAGAATTTGCTGATTTTTAGTAGGAGTAAGAGGACAAGATGACATCAGGGCTCACATTGGGATCTTTGCACTCTGTTAACAGATGAGGTGGAGCTGAGACCATCATATGTCAAACAGTTACCTAGTTACTTCATTCCACAAAGCTGACTGAGGTCTTTATTGCCATCTTCCATGTGTGCGGTTTGCACCAACCCTTCTAACTAGGCACAATTAAGCAAGCACTGTTTGTGCAGTAACACAGAATAATAGACCACTTTCCTACTTAACTTTGGTTTCTGTCGTTCTTTGTTTCTGTGTATTGTTCATTTCCCCCCTTTAAAATGAAGTAGTTTTTTACCCAAGAATGCTCCATTTTATTTTGAATAATGTATTATTTGTGTGAGTGAAATGGAAGGTGTTGCGGCTAGTGTGATTTAGACTGAAGTGAAAGATAAATGTTGCTTCTAGTCTGTGCCAGCCAATAATTCTTGTCTGTCTTGTGTCTGATGCTACGATTTATAATATTTTTTTAGTAGCTCAGACTAAACCTAGCCAACATTTTTAGCATTTTTGAAGGTAGTATTTATCGCCATATAAATGTCTGCTAAATTAACTTAAAAACATTTCTTCCTGGAGACTGACCAAAATTCAGTAGAATCAATTGGATGGCTTAAGTAGGGGACAGTAGCTAGACCCCGTGCCTTGGTTTTCTACATCCCTGCGGTTTTCGTCACTGCCTCCTTCCTGTGTGTTTCCCACCGAGGCAGCAGGTAAATTGCCGTAACCAGACTGTACCATGGGAAGCTTACAGTCTCTGAGGAGGAGGAGTTCCACCTGGTCTGGATTTTGGACCATATTTAACCAAGTCAACTTACCAACATTTCAGTTGGCAGGTATGAAACGGCTTTTTTAAGAACACGAACCCTAAACTCTTAGCGGAAGTTTTGGTCAGTATTGTAGAGAATAAGATTCATTTTGATTCACTTTTTTTTTTCTTTCTTTCTTTTAAAAAAAAGCGCCAGTGTTTGGGCTCCCGAAGTATTCCTTGTTTTAAGCCTTTTTTTGGTTAAAAAAGGCATCCATTAAACTAAAACCCACCACACCACAAAAAGCAAAATGCGCTCTGCCATTAGCTGTGAAAATCAGATGGTTTAGCAAATGCAAAATAATGTTCTAGATGCATTGCTGGATGAACACGGTTATTTTTCGTTAGCTGTTAAGAGGTTATTGCCAAGTTTTTATTCTGGTATACTATATTAGTAAACTGAGGATGGAGTACTGCTACAATCATTTTCTTTTTAACTACAGCACTTCATTCATGAAGAAAAGAGACAAAGTTAAAAAACTGCAACAGCTGGGTGTATTTTAGTTGCGTTGTGTCTTCATTTCTAACCTACTTTCTTTCAATCCAACAGAATGTATGGTCACACAGGTATAAGTATTTGGGTTTAATTACGTTTTGTGTACTCTCACCAACTGACTTAAAGATACTGCTACCATGTGCTAGCTTTGGGCACTTTCACACGTTCATTTCAATGTTAATAATCAGTGGCTCAGCACTTTTTTGGGGGTTGCTTTTAAACTTATTCATAGTAGTTTTATTTGTACACTTGGTTCTGGCTGTCTCAGTGACCTGTCTTAAAACAGCACATCTAAACAGTTTAAACGAGACTCATATTTTATGATAAATTGACATGCATACAAGGATGAATTGTTTTTAAAGCAACATGAGCTATATTGATCCATAGCCATCGTATTCGTTTGAATGCCGGTGCGGAGAAACCGCTGGCGTTCCTTCCTTTTAATCTGTATGACGCTCCTTTAGGAAAAGCCTTTGTAGACATTTTACAGAAGAGTCTGACACGTACCACCCGGCATTCGGTGTGGTTGGGCCGTTGAGCATTTTTGCACAACGTCATTAGGAGGCTGACACTGAATGCGGTCTTTGTCCACCCAGATTTACATATGTGCAAGAAAAGTATGAGATACTTTACTGTAGCGAATTTTATGTAACAAAAGATATATCGTCACATTAATAAATTTAAAGAAATCCTTTGTATGAAAATGTTAAAATCTTTTGTATTTCATTTAGACCAAGGACACGCTGCTGTATGCTAGCTGTATGCGATAAATTCTACAGTAACTTTGTTGTCGTTTATGAACTTTAAAAGATTTTAATAAATGTTGGAGATCACAATTTGATTCTGTTATGATTTTAATTTTTAATCATTACATTTATAATTATAGTAAGCTTCAGAGATTTTTCTGTTTTGTAAAATACTGTAATCATTCATCTTGCGTGTACAATAAGACAAAAGTCTAGGAAATTGGTTCTGACATGTCGTGTCTGATATCCAGATTAAATTCTACATGGGCATAAGTGGAAAAGTCATCTTAATGCCATGATATTATGCTATTTATTAATTTTATGAAAATCCTGTTAGAAAGTGAAACACTTTTCCAATATGGCATAATAGACTTCAGTATGGAAATGAGATTCTATTTTGGAAAAGGAGGGGAACTGTGCAATTTCCAAGGCATTAGTGAGTACATTTGACAATGTGAGTATTATACAACCCTCTCATTTAAACACAGTCATAAAATATAACTACAGAATATTATGTTACCTGTATTTAATTTGAAAAATCCTTTTCACGATATGGAAAAATTGTATATCTATGACAGTAGAAGCTTGTTAATTTTACACATTTGAGGAATTAAGTGTTGAACTATATGGTATATTTTAATTGTACTCTAGTTGTATGTAACTTTCATTTCCAACATAAAGGATTGTATCTCATTAAGTAAATTGCTTTTTTATTATCTTGTCAGTTGCATTAAAACCCTTATTTTTAAATCCTTTAAAGTATTTTACTAATTTTTGCAAATAATTAGATGTTTTTAAGTGCTGCGATAGTGTGCAATATAGTAAACATTTATATACAGAAGTGCAAATTAAATTATGTACAACACTTGTGCTGCTTCTTTGTGGATCAGAACGTTGTATGATGAGAGTCGTTGCATCTCCCCACACACTGCAAACAGGGGTTTGAAAGCAGGAGGAGACGTTGCGAAACGCGCTGCACATGCTAGTTGGGACCCGTTAAGCTTTGTACTAACTAGGGTGCTCGGAGAAGATGGTGTCGGAGAACGTTAAAGGCCCTGGGAGAAGTCAGTGAGTTGGACTTAGACACGTGAAGGCAAGCAAGGTGGTCATTAGCTGCACTATCGTTTGTCTTCATATTTTCACATTCAGACTCGATGCTTTTTATTCAAGATAATTGCCTGTTTTTAAACTGTCTGCAGATCCCGCTGTACAAACTTTGTGCTGTGTCTCATTGTGCTGTGAAACAACTGATAGAAGTAAAGACTGTTCATGGTCTTGGCATTGTCTGTCTTGAGGCTTTTTCTGCAAGTGTTGTTGGGAGAGGCTCCGGCGCCTGCGCTCCGTGACGCAGCCCCTCCTCGTCCCGCTTTCCCAGCGGAGCTTCGGCCTCCTCGCTTCTGCTGCTGTATGCCTACTGACTGTGGTTTTGTGTTCTCCTTGGTTTCCCAGTACAAATCCTGTGTTACATTTTAAAGACCTTTGTACTTCTTCTAAAGCTGAGCTAAGAAACTGCAAAGAGATTGTCTTCTGCTTTCATTACAGCTCCCCTGCGAACGCAGCATGTCGGGCAGCAGATTTGAAGAAGTCATTCAAATCTGTCACTCTTCTCTTTTGCTGCGTGTAAGGAGGACTTATCCCAAATAAGAATTTGAGAATCATTCCGTAAGGAACTGGTAAAAAGATGACGCTGTTATCCAGCTGGGGTGCATGTAGCTGATCTGGATTGTAGCTGACCCCCCAGAAAAGCTGTATGACCGCCATAGCTTTACAAGTATACATCTTGCACACTTTAAAAAAATGTTTTTAATTGACAGTTGAGGAATCGACCCATTTGAGGCCTCTGACAGAAGGGATAGAATAGGAGTGTCTGGTGTTAGGCTGGGCAGTGATCACTTTCAGGAAAAGGGTTAGAGCTCCCACTAGACTCCCAGTAGTCTATTCCAAAGCCAGTAAAATGCCCTTTAGAATCCTTACAGTCTGCTTGTACATTCTTCCCTCTCTCAGAGGGTCAAGTACAAATGTTTTAGCAAAAATATATTTCTAAAAATTTCATTTATGCATCTGCTTTACATTTTAAAGGCAATGTGCGTATTATGGTGTGTGTGTGCGCATTAGCTTGTGGTCAGCAAAGCACATGAGTAAGGCCCCGTGAGAAACGTGCACGTTCCTTGTACGTGCTCAGCTGAGGAGATCTAGATTTTGACAGATTACACAGTAGCAATCTAGTATGTAGTAGCAAACGCTGCTCTTCGTGTTGAGAAGCATCCTGCCTGAGGATGAGGCATCCTTGCTACGGGCAAGAGAAAAACCACTTTGCCCAACACATGGATGTAGTTGCAGCACAGAAGCTCTTTGGGATGAAAAGGTGGTTTCTAGTTGTAAGGAGTTTGAAGATGGAGGTCGGTGATCTGTTCCCATACGTACACAGCCACAGTAACATGTTTTCCTTTGCTGGGAGGTAGGGGTCAGAGACTTCTTCCTTTGCCTTTGCTTCCGAGATGCTGTGAAAGGTTTGAAAGAACACCGAGCTGTAGATGTATTGACTCAAGGGGAGCCAAGGTCTCAACAGCCTGGCGTGTAGTGTGGTACAAACTGAGTGTGTCCAGCCAGGCAGAGTTAAAAATACCGGTGGTTAGTTCACTGAGAGAAGACTGGAGTGCTGGAAAGGCGAGATTAACTTTCTGAAATTCTTTTTCCACCCAGATAATCTGATGCAATTAAAAAGAAAAAAAAGCCCACATCTCATTTACATTTAGGGGTGTATCAGTGCTTTGGTCTACACAGCAGTGTCACAAGAACTGTCTTCTACTGGAAGTGTGAAAAGCTGAGAGGAACTGAGCAGGTAGCTTTAGTAAAATCCTCACGTACCAGAAATGAGATCGTGGTGGCAGAATCATTCTAAGGGCTCCATGATACAACGTGTGTAACGTAGTGATACAGGTTGTTAGCAGGTTAGTTCGTGTCAGGAGTGTGGTTCTCCTTCTGTAGAAGCATCTGCTCCGTGATTCAGGACAGGACCCAGGGACCTGGCTCCAGGAGGACATCACATCAAGAGAGCCGTGTCCCGTGGCCAGAGCACCCATGGCTTGCTCATTCTGGAAGAGGATTTTGTGACAGGACTGGGTCATCTGCCAGGTATGTTTCCTGCCAAAAGAGAATTACTGCAGTGAATGCTGGGGGAAAAATAACTCCCTAACGTCTCGTTAAACTAGTTCATCTTTTTGAAAGCAACACATGGAAACTGGAAATACCAACACAAATGCTTTTCTTGCTTGGGATTCGTATGACTCCAAACTGTGCTTTAGGGCATTCCTAAATATTCTGTCTGAAGTTACTAAACTGGACTTAACTCTGCAGCTACTTATTGACTAACAGAACTCAACTCTGACTTTCCTTGAATTTTATTTTTTTTTTTCTGTTCCAGATTGCTACAAAAACCTGTAAACTAAAATGAATCGCAACTCCACCTTCACCTAGTTTCTCTAACGAAATGCTCCATTGCATGGATTTGCCAGTAGATGGCACATGGATATGGTGTGGAACAGTGTGTAAGAAATGTCAGCAGCAGAGCAGAGTAAAACCAAGAGACTGGGAAAACATTTGAGAGCAATAAGGAATGAGAAATTTGAACTCTACCAGTAGTCACATAATATGCCAGCTTATATATGCAATATTAACCATAAGTATTTTTTGTTTATGTCTTATTAGATCTTGCCTTTAAATCGTTTTAGAGTTAATTATTAATACTTGCAATATTTTTCTTACTGGTTTTCATATCAGCATCAGCAAGAACAGGAGTTTTTGACAGTAATTTGGACAAAAGCATTTTTTTCATATGTATCGTTACACAAGCTGTATGAAAATCCATGATGGATAAATCCTGTTTTCATTAGAGCCTAGAATCGGGGTGTGGTGATGGTGT